CGCAAATTAAATGAACAAAAAGATAAAACACCAGTCACGGCTTCAAATAAACCTTCTGGTAGCTGAAGAAATTGAATTATTGTCATTATCAGCTGCATCATTGACAGCTCTAGCAGAAGTACTTATGGAAAACCAGGGAACCATTAGCATATTTGCAACCACCAGGACGACACAAATAAAAACAGCATTTTGAAAAAACAAAAAAAAACCCAAAAATTTGATGCAAACAATCTGCCATAAAATTTAAAAGTTTCATGGAAACATTTATTCTTGATTTCATATAAAATCCAGTGAACAAACAAACAAGTATAGACATAATATACCAAAAATCAACCTTCTGTTGACCAACTAAAACCAAAACGGCCTAAAAAAATGATCTGTCTCAAAAAAAAGCTTCTTACAGACTTCTGACCATAAAAATTAAATTTGAATCACTTTCAACTAAGAATTACTGTCATTGAAGAAACCTGAAATTTTTTGGGAGTTAGTAGTGTACAAACTAAAAAACTGCTTCTTAGACCCCAAAAAATCAAATCAACAAATTCCAAGAGCTATAATGGCTTCTTCCTCATCCTTATGAATAACAAACCACCTACAAATTGCCAATATTAAACCTCCATGCCATGACTATTTAAAATAATATCCCAGATAAATGAATTTATCCAGACAATTCCCAAAAACACCTAAAGCTCTTTGAGAAGATTAAATATGCCATACAAAACCAGGTTACTGAAGATTTTAGAACAAATTGCTGTTCTCGAAGTTATCTATCTGAACTCTGACAAAATAAAATTTTAGCTATAGGCACAACGCCAGTGGCAAAGACAACAAGATGAGCCGACACAACAGCGTTAAGAATTACAAGAACGCTGCCGACGTTGCTGCTACATCACGAAATTCAACTCTGACAACAAAGAACAAATCAACAATGCATGTACGAATAAACCTCAACAACTTTGATGCCTTTAAAATGTGAACTGAAATTGATACACTACACAAAACTAGAGCAAAAAATAGCGATATTTTTGTGTCTTAAATAAAAAAGCAAGCAAGAGCTAATCTGAAGAAATGCCAGAAGTTGCAACATCAAAAATACATGTATACATCTAATAACACGTCGCGCTTTTGTTGGTAGATTTAAAAAAGAAAAACCATCTCTTAAATGCTAGTTTAAACTGAATAAAAATGAATCTTGCGTTTAGTCTGAGATATCTGTTACACACAGACAGAGAAAATAACCTTTTAAAAAATAATATTGTTAGAGCAGTACACACGCTTATCATTTATTCGAAAGCACTCAACAAACTTCCAGGACAGTTCAACAGGGTTGAGATCAGCAAACTATATTTCACAAGTCGAACAACTGTAACTGCGCATCAATCTGACTAATACCTAAAAACACAGAAAAAGCTTACCTAACACGTGCTTCCCTCAACATTTAAAACAATGTTAATTGAATTGTGAACAATTAATCAATGCTTTTAAACCTATAAAAGAAAAAACAGACAAGAACGACCATATCATTACTCCTAACTGGTTCGAAATTCGGATGACTTAAGCAGAAGTTTCGAAAAACTTCTTAGTAAAAAAATCATTTGGCTTAGAACCTCGGCACTTTTCCTCATCAACGAAGGTGATGATGAGTAAAAGTGTAGTAAAAAGCTTTTAATATGATGCAAAATACTTTTAATGCCATATACTTTCATGAGCTGTCATTCAGTAGTTCAGAGGTCCAGTAAGTAAACATTTTTCTATTGAGAAAATTCCCTTATTAAAACAAACTGTCTTTATTAAAATTAGCCCTTCTTATGCAGTCCACAATTTGACTTTGAAATCTGACAAATACAAAAGAAAACTAAATAAAGCTTTTTTTAAATATAGAGTGCGTCAAACCGAAGTGGAACTGAAAACTGGAGAACTAACGAATCTGAGACAACGAAGTAAAACTAGCTTTAATATTTTCAATCCAGTTTTTTCAAAACAACCAATTTGTCCTCGAGAACCACGTCAGGAATATAATAAGGCAAGTACTGCAGTTTTCGCCACTTCAGTTGCCTAAAAAAAGTTTGCTTAAAAAACAAAGGTAACAGGAATAAAAACTGTCCCTACTATTGAAAACAGTAAATCAAAAAGACAGAGGCTCCATCGAAAAAATGCTTTCTCGACCTACCAAAAGCTAATGATTTCCCTAATAAGCTATCACACTTTGAAAAAGCACGATATGCGGAATAGCAGTGCTGTGCAATATCAAAACTAAGTAGGATTTTGTAAAAATAATACAAAAACCAAATTTTCAATCAGTTCTTTAAAACCTTTAAAATTCTTTCAAATCTTACGTTTTATCGCCCAAAACTCAAAAAGTTTAATTGTTAATATAATTTTTTGAAATAAAACAAAAAGAACATTAGCAAATTACTAAGGTTGGTGAAACTAACAAAGCTGTACAGAACTCTTATGAAATAACGGTGCACTGAAGGTAGAAATCGTTTTTGAAAAAAGCTAAAATATTTTGCGGAACCCTGACATAAAAAGTTCTCCTTAAAATTGACTGGTTTTGATCAAGCAAACGCTAAGAATTAAAACTAAAACAAAAAATGATTCAATGTTTTTAGCATTAGCTAAAACAGGTTCAAAGCAGACAAGTTCACATAAGAACTGCAAATCTCAACTCATTTGAAGTCTAGGCGAATATTATCCTCGCTCTCAGAATCGAAAATAAAGCAAAAAAATAAAAATAAAAATAACGAAAACTAATCATAAGAGAATCAAAAAATAATTTAAAAAATTATAACTAATAATAAAAAGCAAAATTCATATAACTTACTGGAATGCTCTGACCGAATAAAGTAGCCGATGAGTAGCAGAATATTTTCTTTTTGCAAATCTCGCAATGTTCCGGTCCCGATATGACCCAATCAACAAAAAATCAAATCTTTTCAACTGCTCACCTTGCAGATTTTCGGTTTTGTTATATCTTAAAACAAGAATTTTAGTAGAACTAAAGGTAGAGTTTGAGCAGACAGATAGCAAACAAAACACAAGTATCGCAATTTAAATGGAGTAATGACGAAATTATGCTGCATGAGAAAAGTTGACCTGAAGTAAAAAACTTACTCCCAAGAATCATAAAATTGCAAGAACCTGCTGACACCAGTTTGAGCAGCAAAGTTATCGATATAAACACTAATAGGCTTGTTTCTATCATACCTCTGCATAAACTAAAATTCCACATTATTATTTCACATTAATGATTCTGTGTGATAATTGCAAGCCATTTCTTTCAGCCTTCATAAATAAGGAATTCAGCAAAACAACTACTTATAAACTTAGTGTCATGAAAATTCAAATCAAACACGAAGATTGGCGTGAAGACGACCCACTTGTAGATATCCAATTCCTTGACTGCCAGGATAATTCCATGAGCTCGCATACGTAATAACTCCTGTACCAACAGCATTCAGTAAAATGTGGCTCGCCAAAACCAAAGCTATAGCGTAGGAGAACCAAGACTTCCTTCTCCTCTTCCAACTGAAAACTGTAATTGCTAAAAGAAATCATGCATGAATCAAATTATGAACTTCTAGCAACCCAGAAAATAATAAAACTTATAATGAGTTGAAGCGTCAACATCCAGCTGCTTTTCAAAACCAAGAATTATTTCTGCGCAGTTAACTGTGTATACTACCAAAAGTCACTCAACCTCTTCCAAGAACAACTCTTTTAGAAAATGAGAAAGAAGAATTAAGAAAATAAAGGGGGATCTTCTTTTCCGTCTACAGTGTTCAAAAAAAACTCAACTTCTCTTATTTGCATAATTGTAATTCCGAAAAAGTAAAAATATCATTAATGCTTATACACCCAATGTTGTGAATTACGCGAGTCATGCAGAAAATGTAAATTCCTGGTATTTGTAAACACTAATATTATACAAAAAACTTATGCAAGTAATATTTTACCTCGCGACCTTATTTAATCAGTGAACATGCACTGTATATCTCTAAAGGCGGCAAAGGCTAACGAGCACTAGGGTTCTCGGCTTTAAACGTAATCTTTCTAAAGCTTCTTTTTTGAGTTACGGGCATTCAATGGTTATATAGCCCTTTTAAAAGCCTAAAATGGGCTAAAATAGGCCAAGTCTAAAATACGTGATCTGCAGTCGGAACAAGCAGCACCACTCAACTGCCTCATCCGACTAAATAAAGAAAAATTTCTATGAAAATCCAGCAGAAATTGTATTTTTCTTACAAGAACTTTAATGTGAAAAGCGTAATGTAAAAAATATTTCATTGCTTTAAATAAAGTGAAACATGATATATACTTTTTACACTACACCTGCGGAATATCTTTTGTAAGTGTGCCTGACGCGTACTCAAAGACACTACCAGCCCCGTCTATAAAAATTTTAAATGTGTGGAGGTGATGATCAGGGTTTTTAGCCAATAAAAATACATAAAACGTTGCAGACCAGAGTCGAAATTTTTTGACAACAACAACAACAACAACAACAACAACAACAACAACATAAAAATTACAAAGTTTAAAAGCTTTTTTTATGGGGTTGGCAGTATCACTTCTTCTGCCGGGATTAAGCCGGAATAACCAAATCTATTTCCGAAACTTATAAGCAACTAGCTGAAACTTACTGAAAAGCCTGCTGATCTCGCACTTCTGGAATTAAAGGTCTGGAATGTGAAAACCCCAGCTCGCTCTGGGTAACCCTACATCTATCGATGCCACTACTTTTAAGCGTAGCATCTGTCATCAAGCAGTCCAGTGACTATTAAATGACTGTGAAAATGAATTTATCACATGAAATAAAACTCTTTAAATTTAGCCCCTATCATGTTTTCTTATAACAGAAAACTTAGGTTAAATCTTCGAATGCATGAAAACTTTTGTGCTTTTCTTCACTGCACACTCAGGTGGCGTTACTTTCGTCTCCCCATTGTATATTTTTTGTACTTTTCATTTCAAAATCTCAAGTAAATGATAGTTAAACCAATTTTAAAAGAAAGTAACTGGTTCTAAGAATTTTTAAAACTAAGAAATCTGTTCAAGTACATAGTGTATATAAAAATTTATGAGAATTTTTCAACACTTTAAAGAGATACCATTTTTACCAAAGAATTTTAAATCAACTCTTACCATTCACTGCAGACGCTGGCAGCTGCTAAATTCAAAAGCGGGAACGTATAAATTATGAACCGAAGCTCCTTGTGAGGGAGAAGTGAATAAAGCATTATATAAAAGATCGCCGGCAAAACGAAACGGAGCAGTCGCTTCTCTAAACTCCTCAGAAACTATTCAGTTTAAAACAACCAAATAGAAGTAATGAAGTAAAAAATCTACACCTGAACTTTCTGCTCTGCCAAAAAACCTAGTAAAACTAACCAATCAAAATCCCGAGAGGTACCAGTAAATAAGATGCCAATAATGAACGCGGAAGAACGGAATAGAAGTACCAGAAAAACGGGTACACCTAAAACTGATCTATTGTTGCAGATGACTAGTAAAAACTAAGAGTTCGAAATTTCACATCAAAAAACTCCTTACTAGAAGACAACAAAAACAGCAAACAAACCCCGTAATGATGACTTTTGTTCTGCACCACGTTAAACCACCATACCTCGCCCTCTGGCCAAAGTACCCGCCTCCAAAATATAGAGTCTATTGGTATAGATATTCCTGCAACTAAATTAATACTACAAAAAAACTGAAAAGGCAATCTCCTTAATGAAAAATTACGAAACAGCCTATTGAGATTTTTAGCAGTTTTTCACTGCTTAAGTGTTATGCAAGAAGCAATAAGTATCAAAAAAAAGTTTCTCTATCTGTCGACATGCTATGAAGGCAATGTTGTTAACACAGGGCGTTGTGTACAAATGTTACTAGAAAAACTTTGTCTAGTGAAACCACAAGTTCTTGACTTATATTAGAATCACAAGGTAGTCGTCCCCAAAATCATTCGTCACGATGATAAAATCGAAGAGATTCAGGAACTTTAGCTATCTTTCAAACAGAAATGCAGTGTCTGATGGAAACTGGTTTCAGTGCGAAAATTCCGCACTATAACTCCGCTCGTCAAAAAATTCTTCATTAGAAAACTCTCAAAAGTCCTACAATCAGAAAAAGTGACTCCTCTTTCCGAAGACAAGAAACACTTGGCCAACAATAATATGCTAAATAGTGTTGAACTCATTACGTCATAACTGTCCAGGAGGAACGTTTTTTTCAATAAATATCAAAAATTAACTCTAACAATTTGAATCATAGAATAGCCGTCAGCATCTGGAAGCAGTTGACTTCGAAGTTTACTCTCAATCACAAAGATCGAAAAAAGTGGACTGAAGTTTATAGTAGGCTGCCACTGCTAAATGAAGTGACTGGCAAAGATTAGTTGTGAGAACTCTCAATGCTCTTCTGTAGTGATACACGTATCTTAATCACGCGACACTAGAAAATGACTGCGAACGCTTTATCAAAACAAGAGAAAATTCTTAAAAATTATTTTCCATCCCGAGGCTATTGGCGATACTGCATTCTCACTAATGTTCAGTTGCATTAAAAAAATATTGTAAAAATGATGGGTAACTAATAAACAGTCTAATACATTAGCAATTCTTGTTGAAGAATGACCTATTTAATTAGAATTGTAAAACTGTGTTATTAATGTTAACAAATCCTCTGAAACACACCTAAAGTAACAAAGAAAGCTAGGAAACCATTCATTACTGCACCATCCCAACCAAAAAGCGATAGTTTCCTCATTATAATCGGTAGGAAGAATATAGTGCCAAACAATAATATCAATTCGCAGCGAAACAAAGCGGTAAATACCGTTGCTACCCACACTGCCTTTTTTAATTTGTTGTCCATCCATAATCGATAGACCCATAATACTGCAAAAAACGAATAAAACACACGATTTTATCAAAGAACTGAAAAATGCTTACAAAAAGCTGAAACAAATATTTTTTAATTCGTTCAAATAGTTCATCAAATATCTATGTGCCCTATAAAGCTGGATCTTGACGGTGCATTATTAAAAGTGGTACTATAAGAAGACCTCCAATTAGGGCAAACGTATTCGGCAGCGGTCGGGATGCATAAAACAAGAAGTGGAACTGACTGGCCGTAATAATCCTTAAATTCTGAGAATAAACATTAGAAAAAAAAAAACGACTATTGATAAAATAGCAAAAGAGAAAATGGAATAAAACAATATTTGAAAAACAAACATTGGAAAAAAAAAGAAAAGAATAACTGAAAAAGTTTTAACGCAATTTAAAGCTTTAGAGCTGCACCAACATACGCTTGCATAATCACAGCTTCAACGCCTTCTAAAGCCACTTACAGCAGCAACTCAGGTTAAATAAATGAAGCGTAAATAAAACTGCACCGGTCAAAACGCAGTACAGATAGTGCATCTTCCTCGACCGGTTCAGTATAGCAAAATGTATGTTTCTTTACCACTTGAAGTAAGCACCAATAGTACTGCTCACTCTGTAAGCATATTTCTCTTGGAGTAGACGAAAAGCAGGCCTGGCCGTCAAACCCTAGCCTACAGCACCTCTGTGTAAAATTTATGCTGCTTCCACGCCTCAAAAATTTCAGAACGTTGCAAGTCCTTCATAAATAAACGAGAAAGTAGCTCTAGGTCAAAAAGCAAAAAAAAATTTGCTTTTTTAATGGCAGTGTCACTAAAAAAAGCAAAGCATGAGAACTTTTAGATACGCTTAACCAGTGTAATCAACATTTATAAGCCTTTTACAGAGAAGATAAAGCCTCTATCTAATAAGACTGAGGTAGTTCTGGCCGACTTGCAACGTCGTGACCAATTTTTGTGGCTCTTTAAAAGGAGGAAATCAGCTCAGAGTTAAAGTTCCACCCAAAGCTCATCTGTAGCAAACTAGCGTGAAGGAAATCCTGTCCGTTCTCAATTGCCCATGCCGAATGACCCTTAACTTAGGTCAGCCTCAACTTTCCCTAACATTCTTTCCAAATACCTT